ACTCTTTCTCAAGCAGACATTTTGTGATCCTCAACCTGTAATCAGAAGTGTTTCTTTCAAAAAGAAGAAAAAAGAAATGTTTTTTTCTGCTCACTATGTCACTGGCTAAAGTAGAGCACTTTTTTTCTAAGTGTGAGAAATGTGAAGACAGTTCCTATTTCAGGATTTGTGATTCTCCTACAGATGAGTGCTCAGCCTGTACATGCCCACTCACTGCTGTGACGCACATGAGCTTCTCTTTAGCTCAAGATGAAAAGTTAGTTACAGTATAGCTCTAATGCTAATAGACCTTCTCATCCCTTTGATCATTAACATATGGCCACCAATTAAATTAGGAACATTATTACTTTATATTGGAAAGAGAATCACTGTGAACTTAAAGTTTAATTTATATAAAAGTTTAATTTATATAAAGATTTCTGAGTTTTTGGGTTTTTTCTCTCTTTTTGTAGGTGGGTACTATGTGCAAACCACACAGAACCAGTAAAAGGCTTTTTAGGCAGATATCTTCGAAGGAAACTGATAGAGATGGAAATTGAAAGGAACATACGCAATAATGACCTAGTCAAAATTATAGATTGGATTCCTAAGACATGGCATCATCTCAACAGTTTTTTGGAAACACACAGTTCTTCTGATGTTACCATTGGTGAGTTCCAAAATTGCAATATGCCATTTTCCAGGAACTACGAGTACGTGGTAAAGATGGCCAGATTGGAGGGCAGAAAATAACAAGTGAAGCTAATGTTTTTCAAGCTTCCAGAGATTTAAGTTTTCGTTTTTTTTTCCTTCTGAAAGTTTGCCTTCTTCCAAGCTTTGCATAAATATTTCTAATTAGATTCATTTTGTCTGACTATTATGGTTTACTAAGATTTTACTGACATCGAATAAGTTTAATATAGACAAATATTTAAAAATCAGATAACCATTTGAAATAAATTGTATCTGTTTAGAGTACCTTTCTTTATGCTAAAAACAAATATTAGCTTATGGTTCATATCAAATATAGTTGTGAGAGAAGATTTTAGTTAGAGGTAATTTAAGTGTTTTACATTTTTCATGAAGACAAAACTTTGAATTATTTTCTTGAGTTGGCATAAAGATGTTTGTTTTTGTATTCCTTCTTAAATTGCACGAAAAAAATGTCCCTTTCCCATTGCAGTGGATCATAAAGACATACTCACTAAAGACACAGTGTAAATTAGAAAGAGCAATTCTATATTTGTGATCAGAAGACCAAGGCAGAGACCCACTTCTGCAAATAATGACATATTTTATATTTGACAATTCATTCCAGCATAGTTTTGTCATCTGTAAAATGGGGCAGATTGACTGGATTATGACCTTTAAGGTTTCTCCTAATGCTAAAATGTTATGTTTTAGATTAAGGTTTTAGTGTAAAAAGAAAGGAGGGTCCTGGAGATTGGGCCTTCAGTGAAACACACGTTAATATAATCAAACTGGCCAAGATTATAATTTTCTAAGAATCCTATAAGAAACATTCCCCCCAAATGGTGTCTAAATATGGGTTTAGATTGCTACATATAATGGTTCTTAAAAATGTTTTGTTATTTGTTTCTTCTCAGGTCCTCGACTTTTCCTTCCTTGCCCCATGGATGTAGAAGGTTCTAGAGTGTGGTTCATGGATCTCTGGAACTATTCTTTGGTACCTTATATTCTGGAGGCAGTGAGAGAAGGTCTGCAGGTATAGTACTCAATTTTCTTTACTGTTTTAAAAAACTAAGTGAAAAAAATCATCCTTTAAAAGCAAAAATAATTCGTTTCTCTGAGTATTTGTGCAGAAAAATAAAGGCATGAAGTATATAAATATAGTGGTAAAGTGTGAAAGAACAAATAGTATACACTACTTTTTTTCTGTTCTGAGAATAAATATGTAGGAGAAAGAGAAAGCACAGTGATTCTAACAAGTACACATTGAAGGCCAAATTTATTGCCATAGGTGTTTACAGACCTGTTTTTCTTTTTAATATTTATTTATTTATTTATTGGCTGGACTGGGTCTTAGTTGCAGCACCCGGGATTTTCGTTGCGGCACGTGGGCTCTTTGTTGCAGTGCACAGGCTTCTCTCTAGTTGTGGCATGCAGGGTCATTAATTGCGGCACGAGGATTCTGTAGTTCTGGCACATGGGCTTAGTTGCCCTGCAGCATGTGGGATCTTAGTTCCCTGACCAGGGATCGAACCAACATCCCCTGCATTGTAAGATGGATTCTCAACCACTGGACCACCAGGGAAGTCCCCAGACCTGTTCTTATTAGATAGCTAGTTAATTGCACAGTTCTACATCTTATAAGAAAGGCATGTTTATATGGACCCTGATCATTTATTCTCTTCTTATCTAATCTGCAACAAGTAGTTTTTGCTTATAGTTTCCTTGCTTTAGGATATTTCTTTGTTTGAAGCCCTTTAACGTCACTTGTAAGATCCTTTACTATTTATGAGAGTGCTCTAAATCTAAGGCATTTGACTTTTTAAAATCTATGGCAGGCAGGTTTAGGAGCGCCCCTGCTGTCCCTGTCATTCACCTTTCATCTGAGGCCCTGCAACCACCCCTTCTATTTACTCTTCGCTAAGAAGTCAAAATATATCACTAATAAGAAAACCCTTTTTCTTCAATAAAATGTATCATCCCTTTTCCATCAGTCTTGATTTTTTCCTTATATTGAAGTTGAAATTTCATGAAATTGTAGAATTATAAAACTTACGTGTGAATATTTTAAGATTGATATTGTATAATTACCAAACTTGTGGCAGAAGAATCCAATCATCTTTACAATAACTTAGCTAAGGTTTAGGTAGTATTTTGCTTAGGCATCTCTATTTCTGGTTATCGCAACTGCTGCTAGAATTAAGATATACTTCATGCTTTTCACATTTTGTCATCTGCAGTACTGTGTTAAGTCTTTATTTTACTGTCTAAAAAAACTGGTTTTCTATTTTACTTCATTTTGCTTCCTTTTACCATCATGCTTTCCTCACCTAGTAGAAGGGCATGGCAGTGATTTAAAACTATCATTATGAGGATGTTCTGAACATTCAGAGGTCATGATCCTAGAGAATGCTGTCAGTTGGTTCTAATCCATATTTAAATAACTCAATTTCATATTTTTAAGGGTATAAGCCAAACTAGCCCCAGAAAGTGTCTCCAACAAAATTAAAGACTGTACCAAAGGTTTTTATTTTTCAAGTATAACATAGCACATGTGAGGATTCCTCTAAAACTATTATGCTATCTCAGATGTGAGTTGGGTTTCTTGATTTCAACCATTTTTACCAAAAAAAAATATATATATATATATTTTTTTAAAGAAAATGTATTTAAAATATTCACAGTCATAATTTTAAAATAAATATTTAAATGAATTATTTGTTCTCTAGATACTATTTCAGTATTAATAAACTATGATCCAAATCTTTATATATGAAATTCTCCTTATTTCGTATTCATTTGCTAATATTTAGAGTTAGAAGCGTTTTAAAAACTCAAAAACCATAATACCTAAAAATCCTTAGATCTCATTTTTTTAAGTACATAGTGTTTTTAATATTTAAGTCAATATTATTTATAAAACTCTGTCCTGAGAATTATCATACTATAAAGCTTCCATTTAAACAAAGGCGTAATCACTAAGGTAATACCAGCTTCCCAAACTGAGAGATACTTCCAAAAAATTTTTTGAGGAGGGATTAAAAGATCTCAAGTTTTTTGCTGTGGTTCTAGATGTTTAGTAGTAGGTTAGTGTGAAAGCTGGTTCAACCATGATGTAGGGAGTAGCTGGATGTTGGTGGGGGTTGGTGGCAGGAGGCAGGAGGAATTCAGCACTTGGAGAGAAAAAGGAAAACCCTTTGGTGAGTAGAGAGTTCTCATTGCTACTGAAGGATATGCTGGACCAGAAGTCTGTTGGCAGATGATGTTCTTGGGATGGTCCATGTGTGACTTCTGGAGGAACAGGAAAAAAAGGAATCACACATGTCATGAACCATTTCCTTGGATATCCTGGCAACAAAGAACCATGAATTGGAACAAGAGGTGGAAAAACAAAGCATGGTTGCAAAGATGAAAAGCTGAGTTGAGAGGAACAGAAAAATCTCTCTTCAAATGAAGGCTGATGCTTTGATGGGGAACCGTATGGGGAATACTCTTTACCAGATGTTCTAGTTGAAAAAAACACTGGTGATGCACTGGATTCCAATTTTTATTCTGATGATTCTATCTTTCTTGAAATGTCAACAATCAGATGATCTCCTTCTGAATGTTTAAATTTCATTTCTTTCAATTCTTCTTCTATAGCATCTATTTTTCTCTGAAATATAGAATTGAGCCTGTTTAGCTTTTTATTGGTCACCCCCAATTTTGCTGTCCTTGATGATTCTTTAAAAGGCTGGCATCTATTGATTCTACTAGACTTTAATATTTTTTTGGTAACATTTCCTTTCCAAGAATTATATGCTTTCCTTCAATTAGTTTAAGTTGTATAGCAAGCTATGTTTTACATCCTCTATAAAGTGGATTTTTAACTGAGAGAAATTTTCTGCTCTAAAAGAAGAGAACTATTAAAAAAAAAAAAAATGAAAAGAAAACTAACCATTGCCACCCCTACCATCATCCCCTAAAGAAATGCACAGCTATCAAGACCAGAACTTTTTTTTTCTTAAGGCAAGCTGCCACAATGTCATACAACTTCTCCAGGAGAAACTCAAAAGACAGCTCCAAGACAGCCATGGGCTTTCATGGCCTCAGTGTCCACCGTTTTGCTTTTGTCTCACTGAACCACAAGAAGCCACATAGAACACTTAACACTGTGTTCTGTGCCATCCAGGACCAAGATGTGTATACACCTAGTAACCAGGATTGCCCTCAATGGAGTAGGAGAGTCCATTAAAGAACTAGCATACCCTTGTTACTGTCCTCTTCTCTTAATTTTAACTTTTCTTTCTGTGCCCCTGTGGCTTATACTTTTTTTTTTTTTTTACCAAGTCCCATCAACCTCTTTCTTCTCAGTGTGCCCTTCCCAGTTTGGTTTTGGCTTTGTGTTCAGCTTAAAAATTCTTTAACATCGCTTGGATTCATCTGCCCTCTACTCCACTGCCAGTACTTTAACCAGGCTTTATAATCTCTTTCTATTAACTTTCTCCCTCCATATGAGTTTTCACAAATCTTTCATTTCCCATGATTCTTCTCTTTTACTAGTGGCCTTATAAAAAAATATCTAAAAAGAGTTTTAATGGGAAGCAATGAGATTATAGAGGAAGTTAATCTGAGGGAAATGGTTGTCGGAGAAAGGATTCTTATTTTCAAAGAAAATTTGAGTAGAATGAAGTGGACAGAGAAAAGAAGTCTCTTTTATTCATCATCTTTCCAAAGTGCACTTTAGTAAAGAAAGCTATTTAGTGTCTAGCTTTTTAATTTCTCCATTACTGGAACTTTCCTTTCTCAATGATGAACTTTCTTTTAGTTTGTAAAATTACTAACAAAAATAAATGGGGCAGCCATTTCTTCATGTATTTAAAATAAAGCTCCCTCATGCTCTCCTTCAAATGTTGACAATCTATCCCAAATGTTCAGCTTTATTTTGTCTCCAGCTTTATTTTGTCTAGCCTTCAAGTTTTAAGTGAACTATATAGAGAGATATATGTTTAAAATCTGGAAAATTGTGTATGGGGACTTCATTCCCCTGAGTCTCATAGAAACTCAGTGTGCAAAGGAATCAATCAATTAGCAGTCACCTTTTGTACTGAACAGAAATGCATTTTATATGTGCTAAATTTGTGATCACTTTTTAGATGTATGGGAAACGAGCACCTTGGGAAGATCCCTCAAAGTGGGTGCTTGATACATACCCATGGAGCTCAGCATCTTTGCCTCAAGAGGGCCCAGCATTACTTCAGTTGAGACCAGAAGATGTTGGGTATGAGGGCTGCATATCCACAAAGGAAGCTACAACCTCAAAGCACATTCCACAAACTGACACAGAGGGGGATCCCCTGGTAAGAAGCTGATGTTTGGTTCTTCCTATATAATCTTGACTATAGTGTGCGGTCATTAGTATTTATGCATCAGAGACATTAGTTATCCTAGGTAATATTTGAAACTGTCCTGATATTGGTACTCAGTTTTAAAATTTTTACCTTTGGCCTACTTTCATTGGGTGAAACTCTTAAAATGAAAGACCAAACTCACATGCTTAAAAATAATCAAAAAACACTGAAACCAGGCTGAACTCTGCAGCCATAATTTTTCTTTTATTATGCAGAAAATTGTGTAAATAAATCAATAAATTTTAAACATTCAGTACTCAATTCATTAGGTATGTAAGAGAAAACTGAATTTTGTTCTAAAATGAAAGAAACCAAAAGAAGTATGCTTGAAGAACTAAAGAATGTTTTACACGTATCTGACTAAATTTAGAATTAGTCCTGTTGGCAACAGTAGAGAAGAATAAACTGACTTGAAATCAAAGGGACGTTATTCTCTGCCTTGCTCAGTTTGCAATCATGAAAGGCTTAATATAAGTCAGTAAAACTCCAAAGTATGAATACTCTGAAAATATTAAGTACATGATGTTCTTAGTAAAATGACTTTATTTTTGTATGTATTTTTTATTTTTAGAGATGAGTTTCCATAGATTGGTATCAAACGTAATGTGTTTGCTAGTTTACCATTCTCTGACTAAAAGCATCACTGGGAAACCAATACTGAAAGAAGACATGCTGAGATAAAGGTCATTATGTTACTTAAAACAAACAAAAAAGGAAATGATTAAAATCATAATCTGTAACTATACCTAAAGACAGAAAATGACTTGCTATCTTGTGGAATACCCTTATACCGACAACCCCGACATGTATATGTCGTCATCATTTCAGCTGATCCTTCTGAACATTTGGGGGTTTATATGTGAACCATCTGATAAAGTTTCATGATTTTTTTCCCAACAAAATGCACACACACAGAAGATTTTGCATGCTATTTCAAAAAGTTCCATAAAGTCACAGAGATATAAACATTGACCTACTTAGAGCCCAGGGATCTCTTATTTAGGACTTTTGATCTAGGCTATAAACTTCTTAAGGGCCTGGAGTTGTATTTTTATAACAAGTATCTGGCCCTTTAGCTCATACGTAGCTAGAAATCAACAGTGGTGGTGGAATTGGTTTGAATTTTGCATAATTGTGAGCAGACACTAAGTAATTCCTGATAGGATGATTAAAATGTAATAGAGTAAAATTAAGCCTTAGAGGACAAATATGGGTTATTTCCTCTGAATTTTTTATAAATTCCAGTTCTCCTTTTGCAGATTTTAATACAGTTCCTGATAAAGTTCCTTATAAAGGTGTTTATAAGGTTTGTTTTCAGGGTTATTCTACAGAGTATGGGACATTTAAGGGATGTCTTAAATTTTCCCAATTCCCATAGTCCTGGTCAGCTAAACCCATTAATCACTCCTTTCCCTGGCTCAGAATGCTCTTATCTTCTAGCATGGAAAAGAGATCAGGATCTCCACATTCTGAATGAGAATTTGGGTTAAAAAAATCTCTGATTCCTAATCTGCTGTTCACCTAAACATCTTAAGGAACAAGGGGTTATGATATCTGACATGTTAAATGACAAAAACCTTATCATCTAAAAGTCTTTTAATTAGGCACATTCTGATAGAGAAGTAAATATCTCTCTGCGTTTATTGCTCTATATTTTTATAATTATTGACATAGGTAAAAACATCTTTGCAGTCCAATCTAAATCAGAAAAAAATCTACTATTTAATGTCAGTAATATATTTTTGACTCTGAACACGGATGCAAGTGTTTGGCACATCTCACAGTATTTAAAAATATAATGTGTATTCATCATCAACAAACTCATTAATTTCATTCATTCAGTAAATATTAGTAAATAATAAGTATGTACTCAAGACTAAGAAAGACCTGATGATCAGAAAATAAATTAGATCTCAATTCTGATCTTAAGAAGCTCACAGTCCAGCCGTGGAGAGAGACATGTATATATATAAATTATAGTAAAATAATGATAGAAGTATATCCTAGATAGATATATCCTAGATAGAGTTGTGAGTCTGTTGAGGAAGTGATTAGGAGAAAGCTCCAGAAGAGGAAGGGCTTGAGCTAGGTCTGGAAGGATGAATAGAAACTCATCATGGGGTTGGGTGGGGAAGATCCAAAATTCAGAAAATAGCACTGTGAAACGTGATGGAACAGTACAGTAAAAATAATGAGTTTAAGGAGCTGTATACAAATTGTTGGGATTAGAGCAAAAGGGACGGGAGGAATTACAGCCACAGAAGTCTGCAATTGTAAAATCATGTGAAGCCTTGTTTATCTTGTAGGAAGTTAAAATTTTATCACACAGACAATGGAGAGCCACCAAAGGTTTTTGAGCAAGGGGCTTATCTCATTAGATTTGCAGTTTATAAAGATCACCTTGATAATAGATTAGAGGGCAGATTAAAGGAGAGAGGATGGAGGCTGGGAGACTAGCAGATGTGTAAATACCAGGGATGATAAGGACCTGACGGAGTTGTTACAAATGTAAGACATTATATTTCTGACCCTGGGTATGGGAAAGAAGGAGGGGGGAAGAGAGGAAGGAAGTACTTTTGTAGAGAATAATGATCTTATCTGAGTGACTACTGAATGGTATGGAACCTTACCTCCCTCTTGTAATCTCCTTTGACTTGAATGTACAAAGCAACCCTATGAGAAGGCAGAGTAAAGCCTTCATATGTATTTATTATGAATCTGAGATTCTGAACTTATTCTAATAGAACATATTTACTATATGGCACCATTTTCAAAACTTAAGACTTTAGTAATACTGTTATTACACAGTAAAACTTTTTCAACAGTCAGCATTCAAGTGATTTCAAACATTTGTGACTGAGATAGAAGCACAACCCTTGAAACCATTTCTGCTCTTGGAAGGTGCTCAAAACACAGTTCTCTTTTACAAATGATCTTCACCTAGATGCTTGAATATACAGCCGGCTACTAATAAGGGAGGGATTGACAAAAGAAAGGAAAAAGAGAATATGAATGTGCATGAAGGTAGGGGTGTGTGTGTGTGTGTGTGTGTGTGTGTGTGTGTGTGTGTGTGTGTGTATGTATGCACTCACATGCACGAGAGAGACAGAGAAACAAAGAAGAGAGGAGAGAGAGGGCGAGAGAGAAACAGTATATTGATGGAGACATTTAGCTTTTTGACTCACTGGGTTTAAGAGGTTATCACCAACTACTTTAATTTCATATCTTTATGTAGCTAGTTTAATAAATTCAGGGAATTAGACAAAAAATTATATTGAAAAATATTGTCCTGAAGAATATTAAAATGACTTTAAAATATGCTATAACTGTAGCTTCCGCATCAGAAAGTCATCCTTGCTGGAACTGGTAATTACCAGTTTGTCATTTTATTTCACAGGTCTTTTTTGAACACACATTTTACGTTGAGCATACAAGCATGCAGAGCCTAACATATGACTAAGGAATCCTTTTTAGATTTCTCCTTTCTTTGGGATCAGATTCCCTATATTTCTAAGTTGGAAACAAAAACCAAAAAACTTTGATTACACTATGAAATAGCAAAGTTAGCGCTCATTAAGCAATACAAAGATTATTACAATTTACAGAAACCCTTGATAAGAAAACAACCCTCCCGAAGACATGTGCCATTTTTTTCTGTGCTGTCTAAAACTGTTGAACCATTTATTCATGATTCACTTTTAAACAGTCTTTCTTTTTCCATCCCTACCAATGGATCTGTAGTAGATCCATCAAAATCCAAGCAAGGTGGCTGCCTTTTATTTTCTAATACATGGAAATGCTAGCTGTCTTTCTCCCCAGCTGCTTTCATGCCTACGTCCCTTTTATGAGAACAAACATTGCCATTGTCCTATAAGGCTGGGAAACTTGAGATAGCCGCTCTTGTTCCAGAAGGTGGTTTTAGTTTTCAGTGAGTTATCCATCATATTTTAGCCAGACATTCAACAACCACAGAAACTTGACAGTGATTCTTCCCTTCTCCCTCTTCCAACGTTCATGGTCGGCTTCATTTGGTCACCTCTCAAGGTCAGCTCCTAAGCAGCAGATGGGGGGCTCCATTCCACTCCATCCCCACCTCCTCTCCAGGGACCGTGTCCAGGAGCCTGTGTGTGCATCTGCCTGTAGGAACATTCAGGACTTTCAGTTGTCGTTCAGTGCTTTCTGCTTCTCGCAGCCAAAGAGCTGGGCAGCTTGGTGTACTCCCCAGCCACGAGCCCAGATGTCCAGCTGTGATACAGTTTCCTTTGCCCTCTCCCTGCTAGAGCTGTATTCATTTACAACTGCAAATAAAAGACTTATGCGGAGGCCCTATTTTGTCCTTATGGTTTGCTGTTGTAGTCATGTTTGGGAGAAACAGTGTAGGAGCCAGAGGCAACTAGTAAAAATCTAAAATCGTTTTCCGTTTCCCTTGGAGGGGATGAGATGGGTCGTCCGTGTGGCTCGGGGCCGTGTGTTTTCTGGGACTGGCTTCCTCGATGCACCATTGCCTCCATCGATGTCTCCTTTTCTTTCTTCAGATGAATATGCTAATGAAACTCCAAGAAGCAGCCAATTACTCGGGCACACAAAGCTGCGACAGTGATAGCACCAGCCACCATGAAGACGTTTTGGATTCGTCTCTTGAATCTACCCTCTAGTGGGTGAAAAATGTTAGGGGAAAAGACTATGCTTTAGAAAAAAAAAAAAAAGGTTAAAAAGTAAGGTATTTTCACTAAACCACTGCCAATATGAAAGCACCCTGTCCAGGGCCCTGATCCAGGGCCGTGGTCTCCAAGGAGGCAGTAGAACTAAGTTTGAACCGCCAAGATGCTAAATTGACACGGAAGTGTAACTTGCTTTCCTTTCTAGGCATTTTTATATCCGTGGAGTGATGTAAGGCTCCATTACTCAACTGGAAAGGACCCTAATGACAGGGCAACTGAATAGATTGCACATGGGATAGCCAAACTGGACTTTCTGTTTTTCCTCTTTAAAAGTTTACAATGCAGACCTTTTTTTGTTGTTGTTCCTTCCTTTGGTTTCCTCTGTGGGGCTGTTCTCCCCAAGCAGGGTCCATTCTTCTGATCCGTCCAAGCTCCTTTGTGCCACATGGTGCTGGTCACGGAGCCCCAGTAGTGTTTGTGTTGTGCGCTCACCCCATTCCTAAATGAAGAGGCCAGGCCTCCGCAAGCACAAATGGAATTGTGCAACCCCCAGGGGAAACACTGCTGTGACAAGCTGGAGAAGTGCCAGTGTCATTCAACTGCCATGATCACAGGATGTGCTCCATCCACTTTTTAGTGTCTGAGTCACGGGTTTGATAAGGTTGTTTTTACCACCGTGGTCTTTTTAAACCACCTGCCCACTCCCTTAAAAAGAGTTTTATACCAATTATTAGTCAACACTGATAAAAGGCTTTTTTAGGGCTTTATTTGTTTGAGCCTTGTCAGTGAAAAGAAGCAACATTTCCTATGGTGCTGTCTCACTGCCTTAAAACCAATTTCTACAACAGTTTAACAGTTGGTTTAAATCCTAAACCATTGGTGATTTCCACTGTCTTTTCATTTACAACACCGGTTAATGCAGTAGCCTCATCTCTCTCTATTTTTGTGTTTGTTTTTGAAGAAATGGATAGGAGAAAGATCCCTATTTTTACCTTGTGAATAGATTGCTTTGCCTATCCTCCAAAATACTCAAGTAAACCCAGAAACCCTCTTTGACTGTCACTTAAAAGCGAAGCCATGTGGCTAAATTTCATCCAGCTCTAGGGGAAAGA